TTTTTTGCATGTGTGTTAAGGAGATAAACTTTTATGTGAACTCTGGGAATCCTAGAAAGAAGCCTGTGTAGTTGCTAAGATTCTACCTTTCCTAAAGGCTATATTTTTCTATTATTTAATTGGAGTTAATGGTGGAGCTGCAAAGTGACCTTCAAAAACAATAAAACGTAGTGAAACTGTTGGCATTTGATTAACATAATTAGAGAGCTTCTCGAAGAATTGCTTGTGTGATCATCTTCCCCTCAGGTGTAATGGGACATTTCAGGATAATGTCGTCATTATACTCCTGGTATGATTGCACCACCAGTGTTGTTGTTCGCAAGCTTTGAGTGCCTTTTGCTGCTATCCCTTAGGCTCTTCTCTGGAGCCCTGAGTTTTGTGAGCTTATGTGGCAAATCAGTGAAAATCTTGCAGATAAACTAAAATAAGGGATATGGCAGTAGTGGCTGTCAGGTGACAGAAACCATATCTAATGATGTTAAGAAAGGGATTAGATAGCTTTCTTGAGTTAAATAGATGAACTAAATCTATTTCATTGATATTGATGCCACACTTTCTACTTTCTGGGATGTTGTTGTTGTGTACCATAGAGTTTGAAATGACCCATAGGTGATCCTCTGGAGGCTTTCAGAGGCACTTAATTACATGGGAAGAGATTTTCTATCCTCCTGTGGAGCAGCTGGTGGCCTCCAACCTCGTGCCTTCAGGATTTCAGCGCAGCTTCTTGTAATCAGAGCTCCCTCATTCTGGGGAAAAGGGGATTAAAACATGAAAGATGTTATGTAGTCATCCTAACCCCCCCCAAGTTTGTTGTTGTTAGGTGCCCTCGAGTCGTGTCCAACTCCTGTGGACCCCATGAATAGTAGAACTGACCTCTGTCCTATTTTGTGCCATCCTCATCATTGTAGTCACTGTGTCAATCTGTCTTTTGAGGGTCTTGCTCTCTTGCATGGAACCTCCACCTTTTTTAAGCATGATGTCCCTTTCTAAGAAATAGACAGATGAAAATGTTTAGTAGTAATTTGTTTTCGAGTCGGAAACGACTCAATGGCACATAACAACAACAACAATCAGGATACTCTTGGTACCTAGTACACAGAGGCAAGATATACTATTATTCTAAATTAAATACTATACAGCACAGACTTGCCCAATAAATTAATAATTAACATATGGCTCTATATGTCAATAAAGGGATCGCTCACGGCCAAGTGCAAAATAAATTGTTCTGCTCACCCAAAGGAATGTGGTTCAAATCTATCACCATCTCTGTGGGAGAGAAATCATCAGCCCCTTTCCTGTATTTACAGTGTCTAAAATGCTTCTGGAGGGTCAGCTATGTGTCAATTGAAACTCAATGGCAAAGAGTGTGAGTAAATCACTTGTCAGTAAAGGGGCCCTGGTGATGTAGTACATGAGGCATACGGCATGACTAAAAGTTAGGCAGCTCAAATTCAGCAGTCACTCTTCTTATGAAAGATAAACAATCTACTTGCATAAAGACTGAGAAAAACTGGATGAAATATGTTTACGGCATTGAAGTCAATGGGGGTGAGAATAGTCTAAAAGTATTATATTTTAGGGCATTATTTTTATCGTAGGAGTATGCAATGAGGGTTGCAGAGTGGATTATATTTGGGGGTAGGGGGTGGGGTTTGGGCAGGTGCAGGGGGGGATTGTGTACCAATGAGGGAGTTTTTCTTTTGCTTTTCAAGGAGAGGAGCAAATGGGGGGGGAGGGGGGAGGGGTTTGTGCGGGGAGAAGGGTGCAACAATGAATGAATGGAATCCCAAAATCTCTGTAGATGTTCATTGAAATGAAATATAAACACCTTAATTTTTTAAAAAAAAAAGTGAATTGGGGGAGGGGGAAGAGAGGAGAAAGGGTAAATGTGCAACAATAAGTAAATGAATCTAACTTCTCTGTAAATTTTTGTTAAAATCACAATTAAAATAAAATTTTAATAAAAAGGCATCTTTTCAAATAATAAAAAAAAAATTATAACGTAAGAAGCCTGATGGAAGCCCACTGGGCAGGAATAGATGAGTAGGAACCAACTTAATGTGTTCCTTTTTCATTTTAGTTAATTAGATGTCCATAATGTTGAGATAGAGAATCCCTTACCACTATGATACCTTTTAATATATTGAAAATAATAGTGCTTTATTAAATGTCACAAAGGACCTAACAATCATATTTGAATAGAGACATAGAGAGGGAATGTTATTGCTTTGCGCCGTCGATGCAGACTGAAAGCTAACTGACCTTCCAGGAGGTTTTCAGAGGCAATAAATTGTGCAGAAGGAGATTCCCTATTCCCACCCACTCCAACCATTTCCCTGCTTCCCGCCCACTGTGGAGAATCTCGTGGATTAATACCATGGACCTTTAGGTTGTTGCTCTTGATGTGTGCCATTGAGCTGGAACTTACCCATAGCTGACCCTCCAGGGGGTTCTCTGAGACAGTATATCTCAAGGTAGGAGATTACAAATTTTTCTTCAGAGAAGCAGCTGGTGGATTCTTTCTGCGTGCTTTGGGATTGATGTGCAATTAAAAAAAAAAAAAACTATACATTTATTGTAATTTTAACAAAAGTTTACAGAAAGATTGGGTTTTCACTCGTTCACTGTTGCACATTTTTCTTCCCTCCCTTTTTCCTCTCCCCAATCCACTTTGCAATGCTCTTCTTGTTCCAGATTGTCTCAGCTCAGCTCTGAGCCCTAGGCCTCCAGAGCTCCCTTTGGGTTGGCAACACAGTTCCTTACTAATTAGCCACCAGGGGGAGCCCTGGTGTTCTAGTAGATAGGGAGTTGCACTGCTAATCCAAAGGTGAACGGTTTGAATTCACCAACTGCTCTGAGAAAGAAAGATGGTCAGTCTCCTCCTTTGTAATTGACTGCCTCTGAGAACTCACTGAGTGAGAAAGAGAGAGGTCCTAAATTTAACTCACTGAGTCCACCCACATGGGGAAAAATCACCAAGGGGTGGGGGAAGATGTTCCACCCCTCCCCCATACCGCTGCCTCAGATTGTAACTTCTTGTGACAAATCTAGCGTCTGTGCTATGAAGTATGGTAAAAACAAGCCACACGTGGCTGTTGAAGTTTAAAATGGTAAAAACTAAAATTTAAAATTGACCTTTCATTCACAATGTCTATATGTAGCTACAATGATGGACAAACAGTACAGCATGGGGCATTTTCATTATGGCAAATAGCCTTGTCATATGAAATTAACATAAGCCTATGTTAGTTTTTGTCTTACTGCTTACTTATTGTGTGCTACCATCAATGCCTGTAACACAGTCTGACTCTTAGACATTAAAAAATGTTTGTTGAATGCATTCATGAAAGCAAAGTATTATATTTTTATTTCTCAATTATTGTCATGAAGATATTTCCATTTCATGACATCAAAATAGAAAAAAAATTAAACAATTATCTTGTTAGTGGAAATATATCCTCTGAAGTCTAGGCATTTTATAACCTTATTTATATTTAGTAGTATTTGTATACACAGAGATACATGTGTTACAAAATTTTAAAAATATATTAAAAGTCACCCATCAAACCAGACACTAAGTGTGACAAAGAGCAGGTTAGGAGAGTGGACAGCTAACCAACACATGATGGCTGAGTTGGAGCTAACTAATCACCAGCCCTCTAGCAGGTTTTCAGAGGATGTAAACCATGTGGGAGGAGATTGTCCAATTTGCTCCTGCGGAATAGATTCAAACTATATCCCACTGGGTTGGCGGCACAACTCCTTTCCTCCTAGGCCATGAAAACTCACTGTCAAATACTTTTGTTAGGAAAATGAATGAGCTTAAAAAGAATAGTAGCAGACTAGGTGGTATGTGCAGTTACTGAATCCATAAATAAATAATGGCCATTCTCAATGTTAAGTGTTAAAGGCAATTTTAAGAGCAAATACACTAAATTGTTAAGAAAGATGGTATTGAAGTCTAAGGACAAATCAGTCATCAACCCTGTGAATATTTATTACATGCGAGCTGAAATGTGGCTCCCGAGGAGTGCACAGTAATACAGGTCTCCTGCTATTTTTCTTTTCCCCTTCCCAAAATATAACTCCCCTGCTAAGCTGCAGAAAGGACCAGAGGCAGATGGCACTATTCTCATTTTTCTGTTGTTATAACTCCTGACCCACCATTATCCTTTCTCCAGCCTCTCGTTTTAGAAATTAACTTTTGTTCATTGCAGGCATAATCTACATCCTGGGAATGGGTGGAGTGATTGTGTTAGAGTCAGACTAATGACTCAGTGGCTGTGATAATCCTTCTGCAACTTTACTATAATCCTAGCTGAGTGGTTTACAAGCTCACAGATGCTGGACCAAAATTCAGCCCATGAAATTAAGACATTCTGGTTGGTAGAGCCAAAGCCAAGCTACTGAAGCAAGGAGATTAAAATCTAAAGCATTCACTTAACAAGTAGCCAGGAGTATCTAATCTAACCCCCACAGAAAACAATTTTACTTCAAAAGGAGAGCACTAGTCCTAAACATTTTCACAGAAAAGAGTTAGCATTATGAGCATACCGAAACAAAAGGAAAATGACAAATAGAATCATACAGAACGACCAGTCTAGTTAGCTAGGCTATTTTGCTCCAAGCTCAGTTGACTGTAAACTATTACATTTTCATCAAATTGCTAAAATGAATGAATTCTATAATATGAATGAAAAATGAGATCGACTAAACAGTTTTTAAAACACGCTGGATAGAAAGGATTTCGTTCTAATTATTGCGTACACTGACTATTATCCATCCTTCCATCATGATGGATTTTAAGGATGGGCAATCTCTTCCCTTGCAAACACCCGCCGGAGGGTCAGCTATGCATGGGTTCATTTAACAGTACACAACAACAACAACAACAACAACAACGACAAAGCTCCTCTGGTAACCCATGTAGTATGGTTGAGCTGTTACGGTAAAGTACTCCTTCCTTAATGTTACTATTTCTCTGTTATTCTTTTCAGACTCACTATGAAAATGGAGAATATATTATCAGGCAAGGTGCAAGAGGAGACACCTTCTTTATCATCAGTAAAGGAACGGTAAGCTTTGGTGGCAAAAAAGTGGTGGTGCGTCTTTCGAGTCTGGGCTCATTGGCGACCCCTAAAGGAACATGACTGCATAATCTTGGGCAGCACATTTTTTTCCCCTCTATTTTTCCATCTTTTACAGTGGTTAGCTGTTAGAATGTAACTTCCAAAAGTGATGCCAAAAGAATAAAATAGGCAGCTACGAAGACTAGTAAATAGCTAGTTTTTTTAAAACTATGATTATAATTCATAACTTTGATATTAAATGACATGAATTAAATGGAATGATTTGGACAGTATAGTGCTTTTTTCCTACAATTTATTTATGTGTTTTACTCTTTATTACTTTTTAAAAATATTAAAACAATTTTCTTCCTCAAAAAAATGTTGTGAGACAGAGTAAGACCCAGTTCACGATAGGGGGCCGCAGAGCTTCAAATGTATTTCTCCTTGTTTGGTTCCATTTATTTGAGTGAAAAAGAGATTTTATTCTCCTCTAAAGTACATTATTGTGAAAAGAAAAAAATTAAATAAATGTTGAGGTGCTTGTTTTCTCCATTAAAGCAGCACAAGCTGGCTCCTCTAATGTAGCAGGAAGAATACAGGTGGTAATACCTAAAGTACTTGGTATTGCTTCATGTAGAAGCTGAATTAGTTTGGGATTCTTTAATAAATTTACTTTAGGTCATAATGGACTTATTTAACCCTTATTTCACATATGATACCTGTTGTTGTTGTTGTTGTTATGTGCCTTCGAGTTGCTTGCCACTTATCCTGACCCTATGTACAGCAGCTCTGAAGCCTGCCCTGTCCTGAGCCAGTCTCACTGACTCTGACATACATACCCCCATTGCTCTAGTCACAGTATTAATCCATCTCATCTGGGGTCTTCCTCTTCTGCACTCTCCCTCCACCCTTCTGAGTATTACAACTTTCTTCAATGATGGGTCCCACTTGGCCACAAGTCCAAAGTATGCAAGACGAGCATCAAAATCTTAGTCTCCAAGGAGAAACTTGGTTTCACACACTCCAAGACATATCTACTGGCACTTAAATAGGATACAGAAATCCTGGGTTATTTCTTTCTCTCCACATCTATAAAATCCTCATCAGTATACAGATCAGCATCTCTATGATATGGTGTAATAGTAAGCTAAGAGTGTTTAAACTGCATTTCCATGGTTTAGTAACACTTTTCAGGAGTAATCAAATGGATCAATAGAGAATAATAATTGAATTCCCTTACCCATGCCCTGGCCTGAATACTTATATAACTTCTAGTCTTTGACATTCAGTCTCTAGATTAAAAAAAAAAAAATCAGCATGGTAATTTAAAGTGTGTTTAAATGCCTGGCACTGTCTCAAGAAATTAGTTTTTCTACTTCATTACATTTTCCAGACAGGTGAATTTTAATGATTTTCCCTTTCTGTGTGTCACACAGAGAGTATCATGAATACTAGTGGAACTTGAGGGGGGACATAAATTAACACAAAGGTACAACATACTGCTGCACCGATGTCTTCATTGAGGCAACTAAAAAAAATAAAATAATACAAAAAAATACAGAAAACCAAAACCCCTATACCTTTAGCATTGTCATTTGTTTTCTGTAGACAAGCACACATGCAGGGCACAATGTTCTTATAGGTACAAGCATAACTAGTCTAATGAAGGTTTTCTGATGAAGCAATTCATAGCTCTCAATTGAGTCAGTAGAGTGTTGAGCTGCCATTCATACAGAAGGCAGTTAAATCCAAAAGCTTCTTGGGAGAAAGATGGAATAGTTTCCTCCTGTCCTCTGAAAACTTGCTGGAGGATCAATCGTGAGTTAGTTCCATTTCAAGGGCAATGAGATTTTAATATTTAGCGAATGTAAATATATATAACTTTCTCTTTAAAGATTGCTGACTATTAACATTTTTTAGAAGATGTATAACTTACGTATCTTTAAGAAGATAAATTCTCCTGAATGAAGTAAGTAGATCATTAGAGTTCTACAGGAAAGTTTCATGGGTGTGAACAGACCTCTGAATGAGACTGGGCTCCTCTTAGAGTAAAAGACAAGTCCTAGAAAAACTGAGATGTATTCATCTCAACATCAAGAAAATAAAAATCCTTAACACCAGGCAAATTGGCAGTATCATGATATATGGAGAAAAGATTGAGCTTGTTAACAATTTCATCTTGCATGGATCCACAATTAACTCTCTTGGCATCAACACTCGGGACATTAAAAGACAAGTTACATTAGGAAAACCTGCTGTCAGGGACCTCTCCAGAGTGCAAAAGAGCAACATCAGTCTAGAAACTAAAGCACACCTAATCTAGGCCATGGTCTTCTCAGTTGCTTGATATACATCTAAAAGCTGGGCAATGACTATGACTGACAGAATAAGCATCGATGTCTTAGAGTGTGGTGTTGGAGAAAAGTATTGAACATAGCGTGGACTGCCAAGAGGACAACTAAATCTGTCTTGGAGAAGGTGATACCATGGTGCTTTGTAGAGGCAAGGATTTTGAAGCTCCATCTCACATACTTTGGGCATGTTGCCAGGAAGGACCAGCACTAGAAGAAAGACATCATGCTTGGAAGGGTAGAGGATCAGCATGGGAGGGCAAGAACGTGGGTGAGGTGGATTAACACAGTGATTGTGGCAATGGAATTAAGACTGTCAGAAACAATGAAGTTGGTTCAGGATAGGGCAAAGTTGAAAGCCATTATTCATAGTGTGGGTCCCTATGAGTTGTAAATTGACTTGAACAACAAACAACAAAATCATGATTGGGGAAAAAAAATTGAAGCTGTCAAAGACTTTTTTTTCTACTTGGATCCACAGCCAATAACCATGGTTGTTGTTGTGTGTCATCAAGTCAAATTGGCCCATAGCTGACTCTCCAGTGGGTTTTCAGAGGCAGTAAATCACACATGAGGATATTACTCATCCTTCTACCCAGAGCAGCTGGTAGATTCTAACTTGTTACCTTTGGGATTGCAATGTACTGTCCTAAGAACCTTGGTAGCAACAGTCAAAAAGACAAATCAAAAGGTATGCTGCATTTAGAAAATCTACTGTTTGCTTCAAGTCCTGAAGAGCAAGAATATTAGTTTGAAAATGAACACACACTTGACCCAAACCATGACATTTAAACTGCTTCTTGTGCATCTAAGAGTTACACAATGAGTAGGGAATAATGAAGAACTGTTGGCGTTGAGCAGTGGTGTTGGAAAAGAGTAGAGAACTGCCGAAAGAATCAACAAGTCTGTCTTGGAGAAAATGCAGCTGCCATGCTCCTTAGAGACAGGGATCAGGAAACTTTATCTTACCTACTTTAGGAATGTTGTCAGCAGTATCAGTCCTTGGAGAAAACCATTATGCATGGAAAAAGAGCGGGTCAGTAAAGGATAGGAAGATTCTCAAGAAGATGTATTAACATTGATAAAACCACGGGCTTGAGCATGGTGGAGATAGTGATGATGGTTAAGAAGATACCATTTGACCCAGCAATTCCACTTTAGGGAATATACCCTAAAGAGACCATAACTGACATCCAAGCAGACATATGCATACCCATGTTTATCGCGGCTTTGTTTACAATAGCAAGGAGTTGGAAACAACCTAATGCCCATCAACAAATGAATGGGTAAAGAAGCTGTGGTATATTCACACAATGGAATACTATGCTGCATTGAAAAACAAGGAACTCATGCAATATTATTCAAAATGGGTGACCCTGGAGGACATTATGCTGAGTGAGGTATCTCGGTCACAAAGGGACAAATGCTATATGGTGCCACTGTTGTAGAATGAGGCTAGCATTGGGGTGGGGGTAAGACTGAGAAAAACTGGATGAAATATGTTTACGGCATTGAAGTCTTTGGGGGAGAGAATAGTCTAAAAGTATTATATTTTAGGGCATTATGTTTATCGTAGGAGTACGCAATGAGGGTTGCAGAGTAGATTATATTTGGGGTTGGGGGTGGGATTGGGGGAGGTGCGGGGGGGATTATGTACCAATGAGGTAGTTTTTCTTTTGCTTTTCAAGGAGAGGAGCAAACGGGGCCAGGGGGTGAGAGGTGAGGGGGGTGGTCGGGGAGAAGGGTACAACAATGAATGAACGGAATTCCAAAATCTCTCTAGATGTTCATTGAAATGAAAAATAAATAAATTAAAATACTTTTAAAGAAAGAATAAGGCAGAGTTTAGATCTTTTGTTCACATGGTGACTATGAGTTATATTTGACTCAATGGTACTCACTACAACATGTGGAAACGAGCACCTCAATTATGAAAAGGATTAACATCTTCAGCTGATGACTGGCTAACTTAAAGTTGGGGGCTCAAGCCAACCCAAAAACAACTGGGAAGAAAGACCTTGGAGACCAACCATTGAAACTTTTGTGGAGCACAGTTCTACTCTGACACATTTGCAGTTACCATGAGTTGAAATCAATGAGATCGCAATTGTAGAGAGATATTTGTAAAAGACTGTTCATTGCAGCTCTGTAATAGCCAATATTTGGACATAAAATTGTTCATCACCAATGAACAGGATAAATATGAACACACAGAGACACACATATAAACCTGCTGGGGGATTCAGATATGAGTTGGTTCTAACTCAGTGGTACACAACAACATATATATCTATGTGTGTGTGTGTGTGTGTAAATTCCTGAGTTAAAGAACAAGAAGTGGAATAATCATTCTTATTTAATAAGCACTTGATAATCCAGAGAATACAGTGAATTAAGACTTCTTTTGCTTCTCGTGGTAGGTAAATGTCACTCGTGAAGACTCACCAAGTGAAGACCCAATTTTTCTCCGAACTTTAGGAAAAGGAGATTGGTTTGGAGAGAAAGCCCTGCAGGGGTAAGTTCTTATATAACACAGTTTTTGGTTGAATACTGTGTAAGTTTCTGTCTTAAATTTTGAACTGCTACTAAAATAAGTTCCTTTTTTAGTACTTGTTGAAATATTAGCACAGACCTTGATGACAATTTTTCTTTATTTTTAGTAGGATGTGAAAATCAGTTTATACTGGCTATAAGACTGGGTAACTTTTGTGATTTTTATCACCGTTATTTTAACAGAGCAATTTTTTACTTTTGGGTTCCTTACCTATAGTCTATAAGAAATACTTTAAAAATGGGGAAATTCTCTGCTAAGCTTAATTTGTACATTTTGAAATAGATTTTTAAGAAGATGATAGGGACTTTTAAAATTCCTAAATTTGTATAAATGGTGGATCAGAAGGCAGTGAAGAATTTACAGAGTTCACCTTTGGATGGCTTCCTTCATTTTGGGTTAAAGTAGCTGGAGGCAGTGATGGAGATAAGGCAATCCTAGAAAATTCACTCTTGATGAACTTGAAGGCTAGACAAGTAGAAGCTAGTTCAAAGTGATTGAAATGGGACTTGATGCCTTAAGAACTCAATAAGCAAGCACTTGGGATTTCTTCCCATATGTGATAGAAAAAAAAACAGAGTTGATTTTATATAAAGCATTTTAGACAGTGCTTTATGTTTATAATTAACATAGTTAGGTATTCTAATTGAGTTTCCTACTAAGCAATACCTTTCAATTGTCAGAATTCATCGCTGCAGATAAGCTATTTCAATGGGAAAAAAACCAATAAATATTTATTTTTGGACCAAAACACAGGTGCAAGAGTGTCCACTAGAGTGGAACAATAGGATGTAATTTATTCCTAAAATTTTGCTATTTAAAACTGTACCTTCATGTTTAAAGAATTGCATTATAAGCATTTCATTTAAAAGCACTATGATAAAAAGTTTAGGGACTTTTGCCTCCTTAATGCAACTCACAATTAGATAGCAAGTTTTCCTTGCTTTCTTACTATTTAACAACTACAGAAATGAAACGAAAGCATTCTGGCAAATCATCTTATTAGACCATATTGTCTTATGAAAGTCTGTAACTAAATTCACTCAACTTTTTTGTCGTCCCCCCCACCGCTGAGTTTTTGTGATTTGTATTTAATGAGCATGTACTTGACATTATTTTTCCTGCAGCAAAGTTGAAATAGCATGCTTGGTGTTGATCTACAGGAGACTAAAAGAAAAACTATCTTCTAGCCTAAACTGCATGGATATATCCTAGTAATTTCAATCTTTCTTTCCTTGACTACCGAATGTGTAAACGGTTCTTAGTCTACCTGGTTTCATGGCATAAGACTAATGAATGTGGGAGTGAATGACATATCTAACATAGTCAGAGTGCCAGAAACCTTTACTGTATTTTTTTTAACTGAAGTCACAAATAAGAGAAAATAAGAAATGAGTAATAAGAAATTGACAGATTTTCTTTGGTAGCTTATTGTCACTGAATTTTGGAGCCAATTAAAAAACAAAACAAAACAAACAAAAAACCCAAACAACTTTGCCAATAAAAATATCCTTCTAGGTTGTATTTTAAAGGTGACTCTCGAGATGTAATTTGTGGAAAAGTTACCAAACTTTAATCTGGAATCAGGATAATTTTATGATACACCATCTGTTTCAGCTATTTCTAGCAAATGGTTATTCTTATTTATGGACAATCTGGTGTTGAGATTCTTTCTTGTACATAATTGATCTTCACTGGCCTTTTTTACCTGAAGCACATTCTGCCCTCCAATAATCTGCAATATAATGAACGCATCTCTCTATCCTTACTCCTCTCCCCACTATGTGCCCACAAGCTCTTCTTCCCATTTTGTTTTCTTATGTCCTTTTGATGTTTTCTTTATACTGTAACTAGCTTTACCAGCCTTCACTAAGCACTCTTTTAAATGTCATCAGACTCTTGCTACTCAGTAGAGTTTTTACTCCCTCCCTGCCTTACACTTCTCAACTAGTTCACAGTATAGACCACCTCCTTCCTTCTTTAAAAGGAGCTCTGGTAGTATAGAGTGCTACCCACTGAAAGGTAGGTAACTGGAATCTACTGGTCTTTTCTGAGAGTGAAAGATGGGGACAGTGTCCTCTAGTAAAAATTATATAACTCGCTGTCCTCATCTCTATTATACATTCTGTAAGCTCTTCCCGATATATGATATGACTCCATATTTCTTCTATGTAAAGAAATCCCAGATACTGACTTCTGAGGTGAACCAGCATCTGACAGTTGTCAGATACTCAAACAGTATTTGAGCCTGTAGGCAGGAGGGACCCCATCCTTGGAAGAAGACATCTTGCTGAGAAAAGTAGAGGATCAGTGAAGGAGGGGAAGACCCTCACTCAGACGCATTGGCACAGTGACTGACAAGGAGCTCGAGGAGGTCAGAAATCAGAGGATGGTGTGGGACAGGACAAGGTGTTAATCCTTTGTTCATGGGGTCACTCTTCATTGTAGTGGACTTGACAACACTTAACAATAATATTTGTTGTACAGTTGAATGAACAAAATGATCTTTCTAAGAAGATACTTGGAAAGGCAGAGGATGAGAGAAAGAGAAGACTCAAGACTAATTGACGTAACTGTAGCAATCGAATTATGTATATTGTATTGAAACAGATGAGGGAAAGAACAGATTAGAAGTGATATATGATTGGGTATTATGGTTAGCACAGGAATCCAGAATTAAGGTTGCATAGAGAAGTGTACTCTGGGTGGGGGGTGGGGGGGAAGGGACGTGGGAGTTGTATACTAATGAAGGAATTTTTTTTTCTTCTTTTTTCTTTTTGTCTTCGGAGGGGGAAGCGAGCTGGTGGGGAGGGGTGGGCAGGGAGAAAAGTGCGGCAATGAATGAATGGAAATCCAAAACCTCTGTAGATATCTATTAAAATTAATAATAATAAAAAAAGAGAAAATGAGGGTAGGACAAGGTTCAGGTCTGTTGCTCATAAGGTTACTGAGTCAGAGTCGACTTGGTAGCACCTATCAGCAACAAATGACGCCCATTAATCTAAACTCATTTTGATTGCCTCGACTATTAAAATGTATTTGTCTACGCATCAGCAGTGATGTACCCATTTGACTTTAGGGGGCAGCCTGGTACTGTATGTCGGAAATAAGTTTGGCAGGGACTGTGATAAACCAGAAAGCTTTTTATGACTGTATAGTGTAAAGTCTGTGTTAACTACACCTGTGTTCCAGACTAGTGCGAATCTCCAGAAATAGAAATTTAGCTTTTTGTACAAAAAGTTGGAAAATGGGATTTATTTTTTAATCTTTTAAATGTAAGATGTGATTTTGAAAGTTGTTATCTTACTTTTCAAAACACAGAAGGCAGTCAAATATTTCTGAACTTTGTACCTAGTTTCAAATGAAGCAGACATAGTCAGCTAACCTTGTTGACCTTGTTTCCTTGGGTTGTTTTTTTTATTATTGGGCATTCTAAGATTTTTGATAGTCTATATCTCTAATTTGTTTTTCATGCTATCTCTGTATGCTCCCTTTTGATCTTTTCTTTGAATTTCAATGTTTCTCACAAGAAAAGTCAGCTTTTTACAAAACAGATTGATTTGTTTCACTTGTTTTCTGCCCAAGTTACTTAAAATTGATATAAATTGAGGATGTAAAGTCTGTTGCACAGCTGTATATCCTTTTGGTTTTATCTATGTTTGCTTGCAGAACATATGATTATTTTTCTTGGAAGGAAAAAAATTACAATAGCTACATCATACAGCACTCCAGATTGTGATTTTTTTTTCTCACAAGTAAAATTTATTATAAGTACCAGGAATTTTCTTTCTCCTGAGCATTCAGGAGAAACTCCAGAATAACATTAAGATATTGCACTCAGCTACCATTCCCTTTTCTCCTAATATCTGAGTCCTCTGCACAATAAATGATGGAGAATTCTGGTTGGAAATCAGGCTGAGTTGGATTCATTGTCATTTGTGATAATACTGTGACTTTCAGAGCTTTTCTTTTTATTTGTAGTTGAGAATCTGATTACACCTAATTTGCTGGGTGGTTGTGAGGATTTCTCAGAAGATTCTTGTAAAGCATTTGAGAGGATGTCTAGAATTAGTTTAGATCTCAGCTGAAGTTAGTTATATCATCACCATCTTTATGATCATCATGACTTTATCTCCATTGTTCCCATCTCCAAGAATGTTCTCCCACCTTTTAACTGTAGTTCAGAGCTGTTGGAACTGCCATAGCTCTAGATTTGAATAAAAAAAATTCATTGGTTTTTGTAACTTTGAACATGCTCATTAACCTCTCTGTGTCTCCTCATTTTATGAGAAGATTGAAGTAAGTGATCTCTGTTTTCTTGAGACATACCCTCTGCTCCTCTGTGATCTGACCTCTTTACAACTGGAACACTCCCCTGGAAATCAAGGCTGTAGCCCTGAAGCTTCTTGTTAAATGATGGCACTTAATAGCAAACCCCTGTCAGCAGCGTTCTTCCCAGCAAGAACTTTCCCAGCAGCTGTCTCTCATTCTGATCACGTATGCCACATGCCAGGCCCTGTCCTCATTAAGTAAAAATGAATGATCCAAAATCAGCTTAATAGATTTCCTTAGTGGAAACAGTGGCAGATTACCTAAGAAGCAAGATAAGTGTGGGCTTACTTGTGCTAACCTACTGATATGTAGTGGAAAATGTAACTTTTTTTTTAACCACCTCAAAAATTCTCTTTCTGAGCATAGCTTACTTCTGCCTCTCTCCCAACCCTAAGCATCTGTCCACAAATCGAAGCCTGATTTCAACTTTAGAATCCCTGACAAGGACAGATAGCAGATTAAGCAACACAAGCACAGGCTTACTTTTGCTTATTTACTTCTCTGTGGTGAACAGTTTCAAGCACATGGCTCCACCCTGCGTTTCCTTTCCCTCCCAATTCTGAAGTTGTAATTTTTGTTAGTCGTAGCTCATATACATTATTAAATGTGCGTAAGTTTGTTTGACATGTGTT